GATGTTTACAAATCTTATTTCCTTGATTTGTGTTGGTTTTGCATATCCCATAGCAAGCAGTAAAAGCAGCAGTGTCTAATAAAGGAGAACGACTAGTTTAACTTTCTTGCCCTGACAAAGAAGAGTTCAATAGGTGAATAACCGGCACAAATACATTACAAGATACAAATTTTTAGATTTTTCAGGATTAAGGGCTATAAAGTGTTGGAACACTAGTAAACTATTTAGAAGTCTGTTTAGATTACTCATCTTCATGTACTGAAATTTAAACAAAATGTAATAGTGAATATTAGTATCCCTCACTCTCTTCCTCAATCACGTAAAATCCATACACAGCCCTGACTTAGAGGTAAGATATATGCTTTGGGTATCCTTCAGCCCATAATGAACCACAGGATACGTGCACAGTTTCCTTGCTGGCAATAATTTTTAGAAGAACTGTATGATAGGCATGAATGCATAACAATTATAGAGTGACTAGTGTATCACTCCTTCTTGATGTCTGCCACTCACTGGGACAGTAAGAGAAGTGAGAATTTTTTCCTGAAAACAACTGTGGTTTTCACTTCAGGGTAAAGAGAGACAGACTTGGTCTGACAAATTGTGACTGTTTCTATGTAGGGAGTTTAGCCTTTCCCAGAACACCAAAGCGGGCCCAAATCACCTTATATTAACAAGTAAAAGTGTACCTTAAAACTTGAGATCCAGATTAAGAGCTCCTGCTCACTAAGAATACTATGCTGGCATACAGAGGTACCATACTGGTACTCCAAACTGCACACAACTTGTTCTGAGCTGGAGTGCCTTACAGTTATGCTGATTTAACAGGAAAAGCCTAGAAACCAAACTTATGCACATAATCAACTTCTTCCACTTCTCCCTCTTCATTTCAGTAAACTTAATACACGAACTGAGTTTAATCAACAAAATTTGCAAGGATCTGCAGATTTCTTCCCTACTTTAGTATCTCTACTTTTGCTACCTTCTAAAGAGTTTACCCCAAAACCACAGTTCTTTCCTTCTAAAAAGTCTGTCCCCATAGACAGTCTTGTAAGGTTTCAGAAGACGTAACAGCAATTCATCATTAGGTTCACTACTCTTGAATATAAATCTCCTGGAGGAAGTCAGGAAGCTTATTTTCCAAAGCACCTACTGGCATCATACCATGAACAGCCCTAGAGATTACAAAATCTAATATATACAACAGAGGAGGGAAATAGACATTTTTGTACAAGTCTAGTTTATTTTTAAAGAGTCAACAGAAGGCATGACTTGAAGTGGTTAAAAAAAACCCAGTGAAATATAAACTTTTTCCCCTGCTGCTGAGCAAAGGTAGTATAGGTTGCTGGAGTTTAGTATAGACTCTTTATATGTTAAAAATGTTCATGTCACTGTTGCAGGGAGGAGGGTGGAAATCAGCTGCCATGGATGAACTATTTTATGGTACAATCCCGAGTCTAGCATGCCTGAAAACACTGCGAGACTGTGAGCTATACAGTACATCCATGTATAGATCGCTTTATTCGTCCTCGGAGTTTACTGCCCCCACCCACCCCAGCTCTCTTTCAGGTTCATGACTCAGAATGCTAATTGCCCAGTTTTTGTTTAGGGTTGGCTGACTGGCTGTCAAGTCAATTCTTTTGCCTATTTGACAAATGAGCTCTTTTGCCTCCCTGCAAAGGCCGTAAGGAAGGTCACAAGACTGTATATTGTGCTTTTCTTCTTTACAAGAAAGTTTAAAGGGGAGAATTCAAGACAACTTAGCAAAAAAAGAGAAAGTAGCCACCAAGTTCACAAATCTACCATAAATGGTTTTAGCCAGCAGCAAATGGGACTTCTGAAAAGTGTGGATTTCTTTTTGTCCTGCAGTTTTAATGTGGCCTGGAATGCTATCTTTTTACTTTAAAAAGATTCTGTGAAGTAGCAAAAGTATATACAAGTTGATGGCCAGGCTATAAAACCACACAGCTGGATATAAAGTCACACGATTCAAAACAGAAGTAAATCAAAATCCTCAATAGCACCAAATTAAGTAGGAGTCCTTCTGAAGACCCACTCCTGCAAAAAATCCTTACAAATTTATGTTTATACATTATACAATAACAGCATCAAGTTCAACTTTGATAAAGACTTAGTTCATTGGGCAGCAGCAAGTCTTTGCAGAATGGTTGACGTCATCTGGTCATCCAGATCTGGCTGCCTCGGACCATGTCCTGACTCCTTTTGAAAAATCTCCAAAGAGGGAGACTCCAAATCATCTTTGGGCAAACTGTGCCAGTGCTCAGTCACTCTCATAGTAAAAACGTATGTGTTCCCTGATGTTCAGAGAGAGCACCTGCTGTGTTTCAGTTTGTGCCCACTGCCCCCGTCACTGGGCACCACTGAAAACAGCGTGGTTCCATCCTCTTTGCACTCTTGCTTCAGGTATTTACATACATTAAGAGTCCCCTGAGTCTATTCTTCTCTGGGCTGAACAGTTCTATCTCTCTTAGTTTTTCCTTGTAGAAGAGATGCTCCAGTCCCTTAATCATCTAGGCAGTCCTTTGCTGGACTCTCCAGTATGTCCCTCTTGTACCGGGGAGCCCAGAACTGGCCCAGGTGTGGCCTTACCAGTGCTGAGTAGAGGGGAAGAATTCCCTCCCTCAACTTGCTGGCAACACTCTAGTACAGCCCAGGACACCACTGGCCTTCTTTGTCGCAAAGACACACTGCCGGTTCAAGTTCAACTTTGTGAACACCGGGACTCCCGTGTCCTTCTCTGACAAGCTGCTTTGTTGTCTTACAGCCCACAAAGCCTAAGGGATATCCAGTCCAGCCTTAGGCAAGAATCAGTCTAACCAGAGAAGTGCTTTTCAGTTAAGACACAGATCTCTCAAACCTTGGGCATCACCTACTTGGCTTTCATCTCCAAATCCTCATCTGCAGTAAGAACAACTCTGCCTGGGATCTAACGCATCTGCCCCCCACTAAGTTACACAGGGCCTATGTATCTGGAACCTGATCCTGCTGACTGCAGCTTTTGGCCATTGCCTGTCCTCTGGAGAGCTGAGTGCAATAAAGACCTCAAATTAGCTTGACACAAGTCCATTTTTCCATATCTCCTGCGACAAAACTGTAGCAAGAACTCAAATCTGTCTATGCTCAGGAGCTGTGTGGTTCAGCTACATCCACATGGCTTTTTGTTTGTTACAACCATGAACTGGCAGAGTCCACACTAAGCACTGCAAGACACAACAGCTAAAAAAGCTGGGAAAAGATGCTCATTTTCAAGGAAAAACCTGTGCTTTATACCAATAAAGAGTATTTTATTTATTAATTTCTAAAGGAAAACCTACTACATATGGAGCCTGAGCTAACACATATTAAACTGCTGTAGGTGGTTTTATTTGCTTGTCTTAAAAACAACGTGGCATTTTCTTCCACTTTCAGAATCTGATTAAAAATGGTTTAAGATGACTTGGTAACAGATGTCCAAACCTCAAGTAAAAACATGATCTATGACTTCTGGCTATTAGCAACTATGAATTGAATACATTTTTCCTAGGAAAGGGTGCATGCATTCCCATATAGAAAATATGTAAACCCTAAAAAAAACACTACTCTGCCAGAACACCTTCTAGCTGTAGGACTGGCATACTTTAGACTTCAAACACTAGACTACAGCTGATTTTCCTATGGCTGCTCATTCATTTTGAAGAGGAATCACTTCTATTACCTACTGCAATGAAACAAAAATGTCTAAATCTCTTCTAGAAAACCACTCCAAAATAATGCTGTTCTCTTTGGCTTAGACACAGGTACAAAGCTCTGAGATTATGCTCAGAGTATTAAAAAAGACATGTTTTTACACCCTTGCTGAATGAAAGTAGACACAGCTATTGAACCTACCCAACATCAGTACTATATGGTATATAAATATATATATATAAGTGTATATAGTGTGAGTTAATTAATATCCCATTAGTATTCGTATTACTTTCATTCAAGGCATACACAGAGAGCAATTAGAATCTAAGTTAACAACTCACTTCTGAACCAGAAAAATTTGTTGTGAATTTTTAAGTGGCAAAACTTCAGAGCTTCCAATGTGTTATTTGTTCTGCTGCAAGTGTCAGTTATAATGCATTAAGTGAACATCAATTCGTAACTTACTCAGTGTTTCCCATTAAATGAAGAAAAAACTATTATGTAACTGAACTTCATAGCACCATTGTTATCGGCCAGGTTTTGTTATTTTCAATTTTTTAAACAAAGAAGAAAAGGAAACTCTGGCTTTAATTTTAGCCGATGTCTTTTAGCGAGCCAACTCTTCATCCAGTAACCCCAGATATACTGACTTGTTTTGTATAGCATGTCTTGATATTTCATCTTCTTCTCAACTTCAGCAGCAAGCAAATTAAAAATTGGGCTCTGGTTCACAAATGTTTTCTCTTTCCCTGCCTGCTCCCCACACACATACACACTGCCCATTTTGAAGATGATTTTACAGTCTTGCAACAGAGAGTGTTCCCTAAAGGTTTGCCTTGATTTTCAGGGCTCATTTTGTTTCTCTTTTTTTTGTTTTTGTTGTTTTAATAGGAACAGCAAGTAACATGCTATGTTAGGGCAAAGCCAAGCAGGCCTATTTTCAGGAAGTTGCTTTATAAGACATGTAGGCTCCCTCTCCATTTCCTGGGGACACACAGAGTGGAGACACACTGCCAATACTGCCTCAGTAAAGGGTTCTGGTATCTGAGCTGCAGTTTGAGTGTGCAAGGCCTGAAATGGTTATTTTATGTGCGAGTGTCGGACATGATTCTTGCCAAGGTATTCTTGGGAAAAATGCCAATGATGTTCCTCTAGGTGACCCGAGCCAAGGTTTTATTTGACAGAGCGGCTTGATTTGTTTCAGTAGAAAATGTGTGTGGACCCAAAATACACAGCATATTACTATTTTAACATTTCATCAGAAAAAGAGAGATTAAGAAGAAAAACAAAATTTGGTGCTATATTCAGCTTACCTTCTCATTCCATGCCCACAATCCAATCCCAAGAAATGCTATGCCAAGGAACTAAAGGAAAAGGAAAAAAAATATCAGAGCAGGAACTAGAAATTTATGGTGGGTTTTGTACAGGGTTTTTTGGGGGGGTTCTTTGTTTATTTTTTTTTTTTAACATACACATTGATTCATCTTCTCTGTTGGAGAATCAATTTTATCAGGACTGAGAGACACTTATAATATGTATCTCGTTGTTTATTTCACAACTCAACCATTGTAACTTGAAGAATTTAAAACTTGCACAACTCAGGGATGTTCCACATAGGAATAGTAAGTGCAGTAAGTGTCATTTTATCAGCATTGAGCAAGTTAAGTTCTTTTCAAAGCAGACTCCACCATCAAGCAACACATTATTTTACTATTGTATTACCACCACCTGCACAAAGCATCTGTCCTCACAGTGCTCTCCCAGTGAGAGAAAGTGACTAAAAGAAAGTCCTAGACACACATGTATTATCAATTTTAGCAATGTTGTCCACAGAAAATAACCTATGACTGGGGGGGGAAATAATAAAAACAATACTGGTTTGAAAGACTAAGAACTTTTTAAAGCCCTGAAATCAACACTTTACAACTTTTCTGATACTGAGCATTTCTGTATTTAATAAAGGAAGTTAACATTCCCTTTCTCCTCCAAGGGACTCAAAAGCTCCAAACTCAAAAGTTCCCTTTCCTCCACTAAGGAAAAGGGAACAGCGTCCCGGATTTTGTTACATCCCTGTATTTCTCCATTCCACTGAATAATTTAGAGGGCATCACCTCCCTCCAAATCTACAGGGTTTCCATACAAAATCTACACCAAAGATCAGTGAGACAAGCAACGCAGGCAGAACAAGCATTCCATCTCCCAACATCATTACTGCATATCTGGCATGATACAGTAGCTATCATGTAAAATGTTTAAAAAACACACAGCAAATGTATGAGCACATCTCCAAATGTCCATCTGTCCAACTTGCATATCTGGTTTTTAAAACCTAAGCGCTAACTAAAAAGAAAACTATATTCACATTAGTATTAGAGCACATAATGGATTGTTGCTCAGACATAAAACTCTGGTCTGCTTTGTGGTTTCTCCACACTGCATTGGCGTGAACTTACTCTGGCACACAAGTACTTTTTCTCTTAAGATCTGTGTAAACAGTTAAGTATCCTAATGATTTTTCCTTTGCAGAACAGGACAAAAGTGGGTTTCTGTTGAAAAGTGGGAGGAGGCAGGAACATAAACTTTAAAAGCTTTCCCAGAAGTGATTTCAATGTTTTCAAAGAAAGATTCCTTCTTCCTTACATGCACTTTTTTTTTTTTTGAAGGGGCACTTTTAGCTTTGTACCACAACAATATATGTAAAGCATAACCCAATATCAAGTGGACTATGCTCACTGCAATGCCCTGGAGTTCCCTAGCGCCCATTTCATTTCTGTGACTTTCTCCTCCAAGTGTGCTTTTCCAGCTACCCAAAGGACCATGCATACTGGGAATGAAACTTTTTTTTTTGACTTGAAGAGTCATGACTGTAAATTTAAACAATACTACAAGTTAGCATTCTTCAAAGGAAACCGTTGCAGGCTTGGCCACATTTTAACACAAGATAAATGGAAATTTTTCCTAGATGGAAAAACATAACTGTTGGTCAAGAAAGTCTTACTTCAACAGCCTTAATTTTCATAAAGTATGAAAGGTGGATTTGAGAAAGTCGGTACAGCCTCCTGTGATACACTACCTGAGCCAAAAAAGGTCATCTTACCTGTATCATGACTGCTTTTTTTATTATGGTTATAAAGTTTGCCAGAAGAGCATGTGTAATCCTCCTGACTGCAGTGATTATTTGAAATTTGAGATAAAGCTGTTCAAGTTTCCAAACCTCTCAGACAAAGATCTTTTTTGCAATAACAGTCTCCTTTCCTTCTTTCTCACACAGCCAAAGGCACAATAGTTGAAGGAACAGGAGTTAAGGGGGGGGGGGGGGAAATAGCTATAGTATTATAAAAATCCATAAGTTGCATTTGGAAGTGGCAAATTGTTATTGGTAAGAGGTATAAAAAATTATGTTTTGCAAAAAGCTTGATAGTGTAGAAAACAAGAATGAAAGAATTTTATCAGTGCATACGAATGTAACTTTACAGCCATACACATCAGCTGCAAGTCTGGCTCAGATCCACTCGCTTTACATACTTAATCTAGTCAAGTGTCCTGATCCTTCACCAGAAATTGAGACTTAAGGATAAGATTACCTCATGGGTTGTAAAAGGTGACTTAGACTACAGGGTCTCAAGCCAGGCCTCCATTTACAGACTGGGTAATCAGACTGTACTATACTAAATTGAAGCACCTAAAAAACTGAGATTGTCAAGCTTCTGTCAAGAAAAAAAAAACAAACCCTCAAAGTTTTCAAGAGGCTCAAAAAATTGCATGCTGCTCAGTCCTCTTCATACCCTAAAACAGAAATGCTCTTTTGAGCAGATAAGAAACAGGAACAATGAACCAGATCCATTAGGTGAAAAAGGTTCAGAATGAAATCATGAATTCTCATATGATACTACAGAAACCAAAAGCTTAATGGCGTTCAGAAAAAAGAGATCAGATAAATTAATGGAGGATCCATAGCTATTGAAACGTGATTCTGATGCAGCTCCTGGCTCAAAGTTTTTACGCTGTTGCTCATTGGGAGATTACAATCAGGGAAAGATCTCTGTGTGCATGCTTTTTGTTTAAATGTCTCTCGCCTTGGAGAAACTCCACTTGCAGTACTTGAGATAAAATATAGAGGTAGACAGACCACTGACCTAAGCCCTTACAATCACACCCTAAAAAGGCCCACCTTCACAGAAACACAGCCTGCTATGGCAACAAAGCACATAGGAAGGTTATCAGTAATCCCCACCGGAAGAAGACAGCTGTTCATGAGAAGACTTACACCTCTCACCAGGATTAACTTTGGATTTTCTTGACAATTATGAAATAAACTCCTGCATAGCCTAAAAATATCTGGAAGTGCTTAGCAAAAGTCCCTCTATTTGCTCTTAGAACCAGAAGTAAAACTGGATGCATATCCTGATTATCTTGCAGCCCTTCTGCAGATGTCTCAAAGACAGTCTTGTTCTGCTTGCTTGTAACCATAAAGAAAATCTCTTCACATCTGAAGCACATGGGAAGATGGTGAGATGGCACACACATAATCTCAGTTAAGTCTAGAAAATTTAATTTATATCCACTAAATTATTCCAATGAGCAATAAAAAGGTGGAAGTTTGCCTCATTATCTACAAAACACTTAACAGAGAAAAAGTCTCAATTCTCCACAGACATCAAGTAAGACCATTTGGCCTAACTATAAATGGTCACTGGATCTGGTGCAGAGCTTGTAAAATCTTGATACTTTTCCTTTTTATAAAATAATTTGCAGGAGAATATTAAAACATTCCTCTGGAATATTAGCCTTACAAAAAAACAGGCATAGTAGTACTTTCTCAGCCATAGGTTTTCTATTCACAAACATAAAACAAATGTGTTCCAATTTCTTCTTCTATAAAGACTATATGTATTTAAAAATAGAACATGTAGCAGTACTTTTACTGTTACCCTGCTTGTAAAATTCACATGCGGTTTTCAGAAGTGAATTAATCAATAAGTGTTTCAAGCTGCACATACCTTATTCTCGGTCTTGCCTGGGTGGAGGAAAATGATTCTTTGTTGCTAGGGATGCAGCACCATACAGCACAGCAGTGCATTTAAAGGCTACTGGGGCAAATACTAACAGAAACACTAGAAAAACTTTGAGAGGAGCTTAATTGTAGAGGGATCAGACATGACTTCACATACTGAATTTTTCATCTCAGCTGACATTCTTAAATAACTTGGCACCAGTTTTCAACCAAAAGGATGACAGCAGCAGGCCAAGCAGTAAAAGGTTGGTTAATGTGCCACGTGTATAAACCAGTGTATGTACAAGTGTGGTTACATTAAAGACTTGTGAGAGACAGAACCCTAGCGCAGCCACCTAATTTCACCTTCCCCATAACAACACAAACACGCTATCAGAAGCCTGCCAAAATCGTCAGAGTTCAGAACTAGAGCTTACTTGCAAGAGCTTTTTTGGTGTTTAGCCTCATATTTTGGCAGCGTGAAAACCTTCCACCTGCCCTTCCCTGAAGGTGCAAGAACTTTGTACACAATGTTAGCAAGGACTGTTAGCAAGGAGATCTATAAGGATTCCTGTGGGCACTTCGGTGTTTCTTCCATGGCAATATGCTGTAGGTTATTCACAGAGCAAGACTTCCTTCTGTGTGAGTTAAGTCAGCACAGCACAGAAATAGAAGGTACAGTATTTTACTGACAAGCACAGCGGTGATCAGGACAACATGAAGTGTAGTATTTCACATCCTGAAATACAATCAAGAAAACACAGGACTTCTGAGCTTTGTATATATATAAAGCAGTGCTGACAAGCTCCTGACTGACTCCAAAACCCCAGATGAACAATTTTTCCCTAAGCACTTCCTCTGCAGCATTCTGTGCTCAGACTCACTCAGAGATATTTCAGCCAGAATACTCACTGCTTTCTTTAAAGTACTTTATGCCAAATCAGTCATTTTGCTTTTGAAGCCAGGGCAAAAAGGAGCTCTGTCTGTCAGAGCACAAAGGATTTTGTTGTTGGTTTTGTTGCTTGTTTGTTTTTAAGTAGCTCTGACAGAAAAAGCACCAAGCCAGAAATTAAAATAAGGTTTCACACAGTTTTTTTCTCCCCTTCATGCCACTGATGTGTACTCTGCTTAAAATATGTCAGCTAGTGTTCTTGCAAAAAGATCTTCTCAACCCTACAGCTTTTGCCTGAACCAATATCACATGGAAGGAAGGTATCAGAAGTCTGCCCTTGTTTCTTTTTCCATACACCCCAGTCTCAAGAACTTTCCCATTCTCAACACAAATTGTTACAGCATCTCATTTTCATGTGGCTAAACAAACATGCTGACAAAAGGAGAGGCAAACTGCTAAAAGCATACATATACATTTAC